AATCGCGAATTGAGAGAAAAGTTAAGCTATGCTCTGCAAAGCTGGACAGTGAAACAAGAAGATCAAATGAAGCATACATGATGAAAAAAAACTCGGAAAATCCCGAAGCAAAGCCGGACACTTAATAACAAGTGAACTCTATTCACAAACAGGTAATCTTTAATTTCAGCGTGTTTATCGACTTCCAGGCGCGACAGAAATTACCAGTGACCCGATCCTGTTTTAAGGACAAATCCAAAGTATACACAGCAGCCAAGAATCTCAAGCGAAGTTAACAAACCAAAGTATCGTGTAAAAGTATCATTCTCTCATATGTTCAAAAAATCCACATAACTCGGCACAGTATTACAGTTACTGGCAAGGTGTTGCATCAATACTATATTCCAGAATATTTAAGTAGAGCAATATTACCGCGCCTATCATTAATAAACAAGCCAAGCAGGTTTTCGCAAAAAATACTCGATTATCAACTAATTATTCATTATATGTGGATTTTGAAAAAAAAAACATTCAATCGTGTAAATCATCATCTTTTATTTTTGTATTCATCAATCAACTAGTGAGAAGAATGGGTTAAAATATATTTTTAGTGCATCACTCCCACACTTTAAAAATTGTGGTAAATCGCATTTCCAAGTCGCAATTTCCCCCTATTTTAATTTCTGGAGCTGTAGGATGCATGTGTTGTAAGAGAATATCAAGAATGATTGCACTTGTATACATGTGGTTTGAATGTTGGAACTAGTAGTGAGCTATACCCAAATGATTTAGTAATCGTAGGAATGAATTGCTGATATGTTCAGTGTAATATCAGAGTTTATCTTTTGGATGAAACAGGTTATATCAGACATGTTGTCCAGACTGCCAGGTGTACCAGTGAATGTTCTTGTAAAAAATGCGATGAACACAAGTTGCTGAACTATTTTGTCAATCAAAGCCAAGTTAAAGGTGCATGAAGATTTGAAGATCTATTGAACAAACCTGTTTGTAGAGTTGTATGTTGCATTAAGCTAAACTTAAGGCTACAATTCAATAGTGAACTTTAAAACAGAATTATAACACGTTTATTTAAAAAAAATATTTTCAATACATTTATTTGTCACATAAACATATTTTTATATACATTCAAAACGTATCGAATATATTTCTATTTGATAGGTGTGTATGGTGGGCAAAATACATACATCGGACTTGGTTAAACCACGAAGACAAATTAGCATAAGATTGACACAATGACAATAGTTTCGAAAACAAATCCGTTACGTATACATGTGGCACCCACCATATATTAATCTAAACCATAGTTAAATCACATTGATATGACAACACAAAAAAGTAATATAACTGAATCAGATACTCAAACATTTACAAATCTTGTCAATTTGTCATCCCCAAAAGAGGAACTAGAATAGAATTTATTACAAAAACAGTACTTATTCTAGAAAATAAAAAAAATAATATGCATCTTATTGGAACAAGTAACCCTGCGATTGATCTGGTCCCGTGAGAATAAACAATTTCCAATATAAAACAATGTATTGAGTTTTTAAAATGTTGCGGTTGAAATAACATTCTGTTGGAAGCATACAGTGACTATAATTGATCACATTGTTCATGAACCACACATGATTATACATAGATTATAAAATGGTTTTAAATGTGCTATGAATATTATGTTTGCTGAAAATCCTGTTAATGTATACTAATTACAGCTCACAGACTTATTTACAATTACTTAAATACCTACATAATCATGCTAGTAGTTTTCAATAAGTCAGCATTGTTTTGCCAAGTGAACAAAATAAACAGTTCAGATAGAGGGCCACCCAAGGTACCTCATAGTACCAAACCAATTGTGCTAGTAGTTTTCAAGAAAACACAGCACGAAAACACGCAATGTGTTTGTTAAAAATACAAAACCGTGACAAAATTATTGGATATCTCAGTAAGACCGGCAGGGTTCTCCCCAGGGCTTTTTAGCGCCGAGGTCCGCGGCGCTATACCTGTGAATCTCGGCGCTTCACTTGGGACCTCGGCGCTTTGTGTTCCCACCTCGGCGCTTGATTTCATATTTGACATGCCAATATCAGATGTGAAAAATCTTTGTTCGCCACGTCGGTCGGCCCCGACCGTCACTCAAAATTAGTGACCACCACGGAAATGCTTCCGACGAGGACTATTGTCTGATTGTTAGTATAATTACGTACCGACCGACACGCATCCTGTCAGTCGTGGATTATAATTTATAAACAATAGACCTAGTCGCACGATACGTAGCGGCTAGTCAAATTTGTGGAATTAGCACCTCTTTGTTTGTAAGTAAATACTTTCTGCGATAGACACAGTCTTTAGATTGAAAGCTAAAATTATTTCAAAATCAATTCCACCTCGATATAACATGGTCAAATCGGAGTTCACGATCAGTTCACGCTACTCAAGAAAAAAACAACGTGTTTATTGCGTGATTTGGTAAAATACATTTGAACTTTTATCATTGCGAATCATGTAAAAACTCTTCTTTCAAGACCTAATTTACCTTTTAAAAATTGCAA